AATTTTTGATTAGTAATATGCATTGCTAAGAACTTCATTTGGACAAATTTAAAGGCGACTTTATCTCAATATTTGGATTTTTTTGCACCCTCAAGATTCCAGATTTTCAAATAGTTGTATCTCGGCCAAATATTGTCCTATCCTAACAAACCATACGTCAATGGTCAAAGCTCATTTATTCAGCTTTCAGATGATGTATAAATGAAAAATGTACCCTTATGACTGGTTTTGTGGTCAAGGGTCACATATGTTTGTGTACAGTGTATTTTTATTATGTTTATATAAAAGCACACACATACAGTATATATTTTGAAAATATTTAAATGTATATATTTATATTCATATAATTTATATTATATATAAATGTATTTAATATATAAACATTACGTATTTTTCTTAAATATATACATGCATGTGTGTGTGTTTATATATACATAATAAATATACACAGTACACACACATATATTATGTGAACAAAAACTTTTATTTTGGATGCGATTAATCGTTTGACAGCACTACTAAATACTACATTATTGCTTTAGAAAGAAAACATTAATAGTTTATAGACAGAACCTCTAACTGGCTCTAAGCATTCAGTGCTGCTTGATTCCCAGAATCAGTCAGATTTCAATCAGATCTGGAGTATGCTTCAAGTTAGGGCTGTGCAATTAATCAAAAAACAATTTCGATATCGATTTTGGCCTCCAACGATTATGAAAATACAAACAATCGAGATAAAACGATTATTCCGCCCCCATTCTGCCCCCTTTTCCAGCGCTGCGCTTTCGTTCCTCCATACAAGCCCAATTTCACGTGCAAATCAGTAAAATCATGTAACGTGACTTTTGCAAAATGGGACATGCTTGATTTATATAAGAATATGTATTCATGTTTTTAAAAGCGTGAAAGAGAACTTGCGCTGCTCCTCAGGAAGATATATGCACTCAGAGATGGAGCAGAACACGGACATGTAAAGTCATCTTTTAGCTCAAGGTGCGCGCCTAAACGGTCAAATACACGCAAAAATGTGTCAAAATGCGGCGCTTAGTGATTATTCGTGTATACCTTCGTTGGTCATGTAATAAATGAACGTAAAGAGTTGAGAATGAAAATACGCGTGTAATGGTAAATTGTATCCGTGCGGCTCTTAAAGTGACAGCGAGCTATTTTCCTGCTGCGACTGTGTGCTTAATATTAATCAAACAACAAAAGACAAATTCAAAATCACACACTGCTCTTGAGTGAAGGACTTTTGTAGCTTTAATAAGAAACAAAAAAAGTTTCATTCTTATAGTGAAGACTATGCTGTTTTATTTTACATTTGATTATTAATTTCTTTCTTAGGCTGTAAACTGCTTGAGACTTGCATAAAAAAACATTTTAAAGCACAGTTTGTTTCATTTGTATCTTTTTATTTTGTTGTATTTGTCCTTTGCTTTTTTATTACTGACAGTTTAATTATTTTCAATAATTTTGAGGACTTTTTGTTTGTTTGTTTGAAATTCCGCTGGTCTCTACAATGTAGATGTCATTGCAACCTTATTTACAGGAAATATATATTTGATATATCACTATCTTTAAATAAATCACTCATATAAAGTTTTGGTCATATGGCCCCCTCATAATAGTGTTAAATAACCGTGATTACAATATTGGCCAAAATAATCGTGATTATGATTTTTGCCATAATCGAGCAGCCCTACTTCAAGTAGACTATGGCCAGTTAAGGGTTATGCCACGTCATTCTGAATGTGGAAAGACATCTTTAAACCCTTGAATTATGACAAGAATAATTTCCGGGAGTGAAAGTGCCATTTTCTCCCCTCAGATCACTGTATGGTGAACTTCATCAAGGAGAACCTGCTGGGGTCAGTGAAAGAGTTCAGAAACCGCTTCATCAACCCCATCCAGAACGGCCAGTGCGCCGACTCCACGCTGACTGATGTCCGAGTCATGAAGAAGCGCGCGCACATCCTCTACGAGATGCTGGCAGGATGCGTCCAAGTAAGCCAGAAGACCACAGCCAGTGTATTCAGTGCTAGTTCATAATGAACAGACTTGTAAAAATGTTGTCTTCCGCAGAGAAGAGACTACACTGCCCTTACAAAATTCCTACCGCCAAAACACGAGTATGTGTTAGCGATACGGTTAACACCCATTCAGTGCAAGCTTTACCGATACTACCTGGATCACTTCACAGGTACGACTCTACATTATATTCACTTCAGTTTATTTAGCATTTGCTCGGTTAAAGATCTCATTTTTTCCTAATTATTTTCATAATATACAGTGGTGGCCAAAATGATTAGAACACTAGTATTCTCAGCAGCTAAAAATGTTTTTAAAGGGATAGTTCACCCAAAAATGAAAATTTGATGTTTATCTGCTTACCCCCAGGGCATCGAAGATGTAGGTGACTTTGTTTCTTCAGTAGAACACAAATTATGATTTTTAACTCCGACCGTTGCAGTCTATCAGTCGTATAATGCATGGCAATGAAACAAAATCTATGAGAGTAAAAAAAACATGCACAGACAAATCCCAAATTAAACCCTACGGCTCGTGACGACACATTGATGTCCTAAGACACGAAACGATCAGTTTGTGCCAGAAACCGAACAGTATTTATATAATTTTATACGTTCATTTAAACTACGCTCTATTTTGTCATTAATTGTAATGTAATTAATATCGCAGTATCGTGCTACAGCGTCACATACATTCACATCTGTGTTAACTCGGCGGTCGAGTTGCTCTTACGGGACACTGCATTTATTCACAATCACAAAAGTACATTATTTGCATGTGCTTTAAAGCCTGGCCAGTTAAACATTTCATTCACGCGCTCTTCTGACATGCACTTTTTCTGAGCGCATGCACCCGAAGCGCGCGCACTAAAAACCCTGTCAAACAGCGCCTGATTAAGTTACTGGACTAAGTTATCTTTCCCGCTAATACTGTTAAAACACACAAGGCTTGCATATAGACTTGGTTATGTCTAAAATAAAAGTAAACAGTTGAGAGAAACGGATGCGTGTCTGTATATTAGATGCGTGCAGCTCTTAAAGGGACAGTACTAAACATGCTGCCGACTGTCATTAAAGGGATAGTTCACCCTAAAAATTAATTTCTGTCATTATTTACTCACTCACATGTTGTCCCAAACCTGTATTAATTTCTTTCTTGTGCTGAACACAAAAGAAGATATTTTGAAGAATGTGGGTAACCAAACATTTGCTTGTCCACATTGACTTGAAAAAAATACTATGGGCTATGCCATGTTCTTCAAAATAGCATTTATGTTCAACAGAAGAAAGAAACTCATTCAGGTGAATGATGGTATAAAAATAAAACACTTTATTTTTGGGTGAACTATTCCTTTAATGTTAATAAAACAAGAAAACACAAAGAGAAAAATAACTCGCTACTCTTGACTGAAAAACTTTAAGACCCTTGCTTTAATAGGAATCAATATATACCTATAGTGTTTTATTTTTATATTTGTTCATTCAATTTCTTGAATGCTCCTGCTAAATACACCTATCGTACTTGAAAATAAAACACTGTTTGTTTTATTTGTATATTATGTGTATTTGTAATGTGTATCTTTGTTCTTATTTTTTAATAACAAAGATAAAATAATGACAAAGATTTTTATCTTCGCCCACTTTGGCCTAAATATCCGCCATTCTTTTTTTATATTTTGTTATACCTTGAAAGGCTTTGTCTTTATAATAGGGAAATTAGTTTGGCTGTAATGCTCAGACAACTTGCAAAATAGAAAAACCAACATGACACAGAATCGTGATAAAATCGAGATATTTATAAAAAAAAACGTGATATGATATTTTTGCCATATCACTCACCAATATCTCCAAGATGCTTCAAGAAACCTACCTGCAAAGCTACAGTACTGGTAAAAGTTTTAGGCACTTGTGTAAAAATGCTGTAAAATGAGGATGCAGTCAAAAATAATGTATAATAGATTTTCTTTATCAATTAACTTCTATTAACTAAATGAAATCAACATTTAGTGTGACCATCCTCTCTGCGTTTAAAGCAGCTTTTGCCCTCGGTGCACTTGCGCATAGTTTTTCAGGGAGCTTTGCAGGTAGCTTTCTTGAAGCGTCTTTGAGACAGTTCTTCTGGATTGAGTCTGTCTCAGTTTGTTCTGTTTCTTCATGTCACTCCAGACAGACTGTTTTTTAGCTGCTGAAAATACTAGCGTTCTAATAATTTTGGCCACCACTGTATGTCTCTGGATTTAACAGGGCAAATAGACATAAGGCCTTGTGAACAGTAAAAAAAAAAATAGTTTTGATGATTAAAATCCATCTATTTTCTGCTTGATGTAAAATATTCCTGAGTGAAACTGAATATTAAGTTAAATGCTTTGTCATGTTGAGTTTTAATTGTCAAATATGCGATTCAAATCATGCAGTCTCTCAGCTTAAACCCTGAAATAGGAGTTTGGAGATTTGAGTCTCCTGAGGTGAAACCAGTCTTTCCCCCCTGCTCTCATTTTTTCAGTTAAGTGGTTTAGCGGTGTTATAGCTCAGGCCGCGATTGTTCTGAAGCAGCTCCGCAGCTGGGAGAGAAAGAATGGCAGCTGGCACCAGGCCGCGGGGCGATCTGAACCAATTCCCACGTCCTTATCTAATGAAGAGCTTTAGGAGAATTTCCCAGCCAGAGGCTCATTAGGCCGGCTTTCCTCTGAGCCCGCTGCTATGCTGCTGCGCTGCTGTTGTGACTGTAGGTGCATACCCCCAGAGACCACCACCAGACACTGTATTTGCCTTAATGCTTGCACTTTTGTCCTGGTGGCCTGCTTTACCCAAACCCTGATCCAATTTCATGCTGCATTGAGGTGAACTCGCATTCGGCATTTTAGACGGTGTTAAAGCTGCTGTGACTTTTTTTTATTCAAATACTATCCCAGCTTTGTATGCAGCGATGACTGTTCTCTGTCCCTGTTTATACCTGGTATTAGGATGTGTAAATATGAAGAGGAAAAAATAAAACGGCTAGATTTATAAATAACATATCATTGATAGTTTTGAAAAATAAACTTTTTAAAGGGATATGGTTTCTTCAAATGCTACAATATTAGTCACTAATGTTGTGCATTGCTGCGATCACCTAGACTTTGTTGATGTGCAGCATGTAATGCATCCAAAAATATGCATTCTAACTCCACTTTACTGCAATCCTGCAGATTTAAAGTTTGCGTTCTTTTCATTTAAGAGGTCACACAGTCACAAGTCTTCACATGACTTTATAAATTCACAGGTCAGAGCTGAATTGAATTTTGAACTTTGGAAAGCAGCAACATTCATATGAGCTTGCATTTCTTGTCTCACACATTTAGATGAATGGAAAGCGTGGTGTGACTGATTGAGCTGAATCAGAAGAGTGAATGAGCAACAGTTAAACTGAAGTGCTTTGCTAGCGGCTTAACTAAACTTAAAGGGTTAGTTCACCCAAAAATGAAAATTAGCCCATGATTTACTCACCCTCAAGGTATCCTAGGTGTATATGACTTCAATGAATCCAATCAGAGTTATATAAAAAAAAAAATTATTTGATCTTCCAAGCTTTTAAATGGCACTCAGCGGGTGTTACAGTTCATCAGTCCAAAAGAAGTGAAATTAAGCGCATACATCCATAGTAAAACGTGCCTCACACGGCTCCAGGGGGTGAATAAAGAGCATTTGATTGAACAGAAAATCTGATGAGAAGCTGACGTAAAAATAGTTGATCCACATTGGTGGTAGAGAGGCTGTACATTTTGAATGCATATAAATGCACATTTTGTCTTTGTTTTGAAACACTAGCTTGTAGATAAAGTTAAGACTAGCGTAATCATACTAGCCGCAAAAAACGTTTGATTTCTAGGGACTTTAAACAGACAGCTAAAGCACAACAAATTTACAACATTGTATTACAGTAGCATTCTCAATATAATGTTATGACAGATTGGCATTGCATATCTTCCACTGTGTTTTCATTATCAAAGTGATTCCAGTCATTAATACACGCCATAGCTTCAGTCCTCTACTCTGGGTGGCATAACGTTCTAATGGTAACCAATCAGACCTCAAGATAACACACAAAATGCCACCATAACTGATCAGAATTATTAGATTTATTTTTAAGTCACGCAATCATCGCTTTCATGATGTATTATCACTGTTGCTCAGGTACTATCTCTTCAGGCCCTTTACAATATTCAGTATCCTGATTTTGTTGGGTGAGAGACTGATCAGATGGACAATTGTAATGGACAGATGTGGTGAAAGACAGACACACAGAGAGAGAGAGAGAGACAGAAGGGAGTGCAGAACGAGAAATTGCATTTCTTCTCCATGAACCTTTTTTATCAGCCCAGAATGTTTGTATTTGGGTCATTCTACACAACGGGTCTCTCGTGTACAGTAGAGTCCAAAACACTGAGAACCTTCAGAATGCTTCTAGTTAATAAATAAATAAAAACATTACAATACTACATAGTTTTATACACACACACACACACATATATATATATATAATTATGTTAGCACAAACTTTTATTTTGGATGCGATCAATTAATTATAATTAATCAATTTAACAGCCTTATAATGTGTTATAATTTGAGTAAAAGGTTACATAAAATGACTCTGGACCGGGCTGTATACAGCATTTCTTTTCTTTTCTTTCATCATGAGTGTGTTTTGTGGTCTCTCCCACAATCATATTGAGCTCTTCGCGAGACTTGCATTAAACCGCTCAATTCATACGGATTTATACGCTTTTTTTTACTTTTTTGGATATTCTAGATTTTGTTTACTTAGACTTTCAGTGGAGGTTCCTTTAAAAATATCGGTAACACTTGAGTTATTTAGACCTATTCTCACTATTAACTAGTTGCTTATTAGAATGTATATTACTAGCATATTGGCTGTTTATTAGTGCATATAACGCACATATTAATGCCTTATTTCGCATGACCATATTCTAGATCCTTTAATCCACCCCATACCTAAACCTAACAACTACCTTACTAACTATTAATAAACAGCAAATTGGAAGTTTAAAATTGGAAGGCAAAAGTCATAGTTATTAGTGAATATCTGTTCCCTAATCTAAAGTGTTGCCAAAATATCTTAACTTGTGTTTTGACGATGAACCAAAGTCATACAGGTTTGGAATGAGGTAAGGTTGATTAAATGATGACAGGATTTTCATTTTTGGTTTAACAGTTGCTGTAACTCTGCTGATTAGAATAGCAGCACCTTAACTGTTGTTTTTTTCTCTTCACACTAACAGGGATACTTCGACGAGGACAGTATGGAGGAGTTCATAGCCTCAGAGACAGAGGAGTCCTCCATGAGTTTGACCTCTGAAGATGAGAAGCCCAAAAGGTTTGAGACGAGTCTTAACTCTTCCTTGGTAACCGTCCTGTTTGCTGGCTGTGTAATGACTGATCTGGTTCTCTAAACCCCCGTACAGAAAGAAGAAGCGAGGCAAAGGGAAAGAGCAGAGCTCAGACAAGTCCGACAGCGATGACCTGGAAGTGATTAAGGAGTGGAACACCAGCTCTCGTGGAGGAAACCCTGAGGGGCGCAACAGAGCAGAGCCTGTGGAAGAGGGTATGACTGAGCTTACTGACAAAATCATCTCTACAGATAAGAGTTAAGCAGTGCTCTTGTTACTAATAATGGTTAAAGGGATAGTTCACCTGAAAATGAATATTCTGACATCATTGACTAACCCTCAAGTTGTTCCAAATCTGTGTGAAAGAAAATATTTTAAAGAATGTTGGTAACCAAACAGTTGACAGTAGTGGTCGACCGATATTGGGTTTTTGCAGACATCTCGAAAAGCAGGGTGATAAAGCCGATATAATTTTATTTATTTTAATTAATATGTAAGAAATTTGAAATCGTTTGAAAATGGATTAAAAAATAAATGTGTTAAATAAACATACTTATACTTAAGATGACAAAGTATTTTTCACAAATAAATAAATATGTAATAAAAATATAATTAAAAAGAAAGTAAACACTGTAACCAACAGGGCACTCCGTATTCTGGGAAGTTTGTGTGCATTGGGAATCATATTTTTTCAAATAAAGCCAAGGTAACACTCATTTTACATACAGCACACAGTGAAAATGACATGAATATGACAGTGGGCAAAATGTGTAAAATAAACATGCTTATACTTAAGATGACAAAGTATTTTTCACAAATAAATAAATATGTAATAAAAATATAATTAAAAAGAAAGTAAACACTGTAACCAACAGGGCACTCCGTATTCTGGGAAGTTTGTGTGCATTGGGAATCATGTTTTTTTTCAAATAAAGCCAAGGTAAACACTAATTTTACATACAGCAGCACACAGTGAAAATGACATGAATATGACAGTGGGCAAATGCATAAAGCGCAGCATAGTTTGAAATCAAAAGCACACTTCACAAGATCTCACAGCTGGATTTGACTAAGTTTGTGAAATTAGATGTTTATTAGTCATTCAAAGATTTGTTTAAATGATATAAATGCGTATTTGCTGAATGCTGACGGCAAACGAGAAAGTATTATAATGTTTGCCTTTATATTACTAATAATATAAAAGCATTTGTTATAATACTTTTTGTATACATTTTAATTCCTTTGTTTAACCGTTCTGATTATTAGACCGACTTCTATCCGTATTAGACAGAACTGTTAATGTCAACAGCGAACAAGATGGAGAATGTCAGCATCGAATGCATCGGCCAAACAGGAAAACTTATCGGCTGATGCCGATATTTGAAAAATGCCAAATATCGGCCGATATATCGGTCGACCACTAGTTGACAGTAGCCATTGACTTCTATAATATTTTTCCATATTGTAGAAGTCTGTGGGGATCAGCAACTGTTTGGTTACCAACATTCTTCAAAATATCTTCTTTTGTGTTCAGCACAAGAAAGAATATCTGAGGTTGAGTAAATGATGACGTTGTTGTGTGGACTGTCCTTTCAACAGAAAAAAAAATAAAAATCCTTTCATTGACCGATACTGATGACCAAGATATGGTACAGTTATATTAATATATATTTTTTAATATATTTTTTACAGTTAGTTTTATAACAGTTCACACACATGCAAAATTCTATAAATTAACACTTACTTTACACACTATTTACAATATACTAATACACTATTTAATATTTCACGTTTAAAAAAAATTATTACATTTTTAAAAACTTATTCGTTAGAATGATGTTGGTAGATTTTGGACCTGACACTAGATGCAATAAAACAACTTTTTTGTTGAAAACTACGGATGCATTGCACGTCTTCTGCAAATATGGCCCCAACAGTGTGTATCTGTGATGTTTTCCTCAGTTCGGCCGTCGAACTCAGGTCCTGGCAGCCCATCACCTGACTGGTACAAAGAGTTTGTGACCGAGCCAGATTCTGAGGTGCTGGAGCATTCTGGGAAAATGGTGCTTCTTTTTGAGATCCTCCGCATGGCTGAAGAATTGGAAGAAAAAGTGTGAGTTAAGTTTTGTCAGAGTAGCATCTCCGAATTCGTTGTCTTCCATGTCATTCGGTCATGTGTGTGACGGTCACGTGTCCTGTGTGCTCAGGTTGGTGTTCAGCCAGTCTCTCATTTCTCTGGACCTCATTGAAGATTTCCTGGAGTTGGCAGGCAAAGCCAAAGAGGAAGGCAAGCTTTCGCCGTACAAAGGTCAGGCACTTTTAGCAATGTTTTCCCTCAGCCTTAATCACGGTGCTTTGTAATCGGTTTGATTTTCTGTGCTAGAGATTTCTGCCACTCAGAGTCTGCATGCGTTTCATACTTGATATATTCTTTTACAAATAATAACCAGATATTGTATTCTTTGTATTGTGCAGTGCATCATTTTAAATTCTTACTATGTCAGCATGAAATCAAAACTCTAGTGCTGTCAAATGATTAATCGCGATTAATCGCATCCAAAATAAACGTTTTTGTTCACATAATATATGTATGTGTGCTGTATATTTATTATGTAAATATAAATACACACACATGCATGTATATATTTCAGAAAAATATATGTTTATATATTAAATATATTTATTTATAATATAAATTATATGAATATAATATTTTCAAAATATATACTGTATGTGTGTATCTATATATATATATATATATATA